AGGGCTCCCTAGTCTGAGAACTGCTCAACCTCAAACCTCTCAGCCTATCAAAGAGGCACTACAAGGGATTGTCCAGATAGTAATTTCACTAACAGTTTACAGGTGAGAGAATGGTTGAATGTGTGGTGCTCACGGGAGATGATAATGGATAGTGAATCTGAACCACAAAGGAAAGAGGGGATGGAGTGAGTGCTATGGCACATCCTACCATATTGAGGCAAGGCAATGATGGAAATTATTTCTCAAGAGGCCATGGCCATCTGTGATGGAATAGATCATCCTTTTTTCAGCATCAACATGACAGTAAGTCATTTAAAGAACATACCTTTCAAAAATTTCTTTTTCTGTTAACACATCTAAGTATCCAAAAGGCGAGTCTAATAGGTACAAGTCCGCATCTTTGTATACTGCTCTGAAAAGAAAATGGAAATCCAGTTAGACTTCCTTAGTATTTTCCCTTGCTATTTCATGATATTCTTGTCGCTGTGAGTCAGCATTGACTCAGTGGAAGTGAGTTTTTTAGACACTCAACATAAGATGGAGTTATCTTCATGCTAGTTTGAGATTTGGTTTTACTGTAAGATGTACACAGTCATGTCATCTCTGATTCATAGCAACCTAGTGGGGTAGGTGGAGCCGCCCCACACAGGCCTCTTGGAGGGAATAGTCATGGGTGAGATCTCCAGGTCTTTCTGCTATGGAGCCCCTGGGTGGATTTGAGTCATCAGCCTTTTGATTAGCAGCAATTAATCATCAATCACTGATAATTTTCAATGAAGAATAAAAGTAGAAGTCATGGAGGATTGTTGGGAATTTCTGCAGCATTTTAATAACCATAGAAATGTTTTGGCTAGCTGCATATATCAGGCAACAAGCCACAGTTACCAAGCCAATCTCGCTATACAATTTAAAATATCACCTTAAACTTATTTTTTTAAAGAACCGGTTTCAAACACATTAGTCCCTATCAAGACTCAGACACCACACTGTGGCCTGGGTCTGTAAGGTACCACAGTGCGCAGTCCCAGCCCTCCATGACTTGACACATCAGGAAAACAAACAAAAAAGAAGATCCTTTCTACCCAAGAAAATGTCAGAGAACAACACTCAATGACACCACGTCTGTGACATTTTTCTATTTCAGTTTCTCAAAGTGTAGATGCTTATCAACAAACTGAGCTTCTTCATGGCCTAGGTTAAATAATGAATCGCTGCTGCAGTTTGCTCTGGACAGCTCCACAGTCACAACATTCCCAAACATGCAAACCCACTCACTGCCAAAATTCTATTCTGCCAATGATTCTTAGTGCCTCAGACTACTGCTCCATAACCTTTCCAAGAAGGCAAGTCTGTCCAGGAGCAGACAGCCTCGTCTTTCTCTGATGGAGCAGCTGGTGAGACGGAACCACTGACTTTGTGGGTAGTGGCCATCAACTTAACCCACTCTGCTCCCTGGGATCCTTCCAAACAAAAATGGATAATTCACAATAGAAAATATATCCACATTTTTCCCTTTTTAAGTAAAAAAAAAAAATTGGACTTTACTCATGTAAAAAATCTGCTGGATTGCTCTTAAAATAGTAATAAGATGTAGTCCCAGATTAATGAAAAGGAGAGAATTTTCTCCTAAGATCTTAAGCCCCTTTCTCAACCACATTGGATTCGGTGTTTGTGTATAATTCTTGGCATTTGGGGTAAGAAAATTGTGCTCAATCAGCTTGTAATTAAGAGAACGAAGGATAAGAAATGGGGGGGGGGGAATCAAAGTCAAATCTGAGCTCAAAGGATCTTTGTTGTGTAAATTATATTAGAGGACAACAGAAAAGGGTTAGCTCAAGGGCCCTACATCTAAATGTAGCATCAAGAGATTTCTTCCCTGACTACTCAGTTTTTCCTTTCCTTTTCCTCACACTGTTTTCTCCAAAGACTAGAAATAATACACACACACACACATGCACGTACATGCTCTCTCACACACACATACATATGTCACCAAATATCACCCCAAGCTGGACATATTATATATACATTCTGTTGAGAATAACAATAAATGATTGTTTTCTGTTGTCCCTTAAACTGTGTATATCTTACAGTAAAACCAAATCTCAAACTAGCATGAAGATAACTCCATTTTATGTTGAGTGTCTAAAAAACTCACTTCCACTGAGTCAGTGCTGACTCACAGTGACCCTCTGTTGGTTTCCAAGACCATATCTGTTTATGGGAGTAGAAAGCCCAGTCTTTCCCCTACGGAGCTGTTGGTGGTTTTGAACTGTCGACCATGCGATGGTAGCCCAATATGTAACCACAACACCACCAGAGCTATATATATATATCTTACCTAAATTTAAATATAATGTTTAAGACAAGTCTTACTTTGGTTCATGGATACTCACCTGCTATTCATTTAGAAACCATTATGTGATCTGTGAGACAGCAACACCTGTTGATTTATAATTTCATTCGTGGTCAAAGGTCTAGAGGACCTGGTTCTAATTCTGAAAATACCGTTTTTCTGTGAAGTCCTTGACAAGTTAATGTCTAACAGCCTCAATGATTTCAAGGTCTCTTCCATGAAATGGAAAAAACAGATTTTTCTTGGCAGAGTTGTGTGGGATTAAATGAGTGCGCTCACTTTCTCTCTGTCTCTCTCTCTCTCTCTCTCACACACACACACACACACACACACACACACACACACACACCTTGGGCCTTCTCAGGAAGCAGGAGGAAGTCAGAGAAAGGGTTGAAACACCAGTGAGTCAGCTCTGGTTAACATTTACCGAGACAGTGGGAATTTTGTTCAAAGAACTCTTGAGGAACATTTGACAACCCATATCACCAATCTTTTTTTTTTTTTTTGACTGCAAGTTATAGTTTAACCATAACATTTTCTTCCTAACACAAATTAACTATATATCCTTCTCTATAACAGTTTCCAAATGCCTGGGCCAAGAGACAAACTCATTCCCACAACAGGAGAAAAGTTTGTCTTATTTGGTTTACTTTAAAGATGACAGACTTTAAGCCAAGTGGTACAATTTTCTTTGTTATTTCTCTTAGGAGATTTATAAATTATGTGGATAAATTGAAAAAGTAGGTGCACCTCCTTAACCTAGACACAGAAACAGAGGTGGAAAGCAAAGGTTTTGTGTGTGTGTGTGTGTGTGTGTGTGTGTTAGTAACAACCGTGAGGTATGATGGAACTAACAGAGACAGACAGTTTTTATTTCCCTCTCCTCTGCAGAATCCCCAGTCTCTCATTTTCCCTTTGGGAGGCCCACACTACCCATCAAACCAACTCACTGCCTTGGGGTTGATTTCCACTCATAGCAACTTAGTAGGACAGGGTGGAACTGTCCTGTGGGGGGTTCCAAGGCTGGAAATCTTTACAGGAGCAGAAAGCCTCATCTTTCTCCTGGTGAATTCCAAATGCTGGTGAACTGGAATTCCAGTAGCTGGTGAATTCCAATTGCTGGTGAACTGGAATTCCAGTAGCTGGTGAATTCCAATTGCTGGTGAACTGGAATTCCAGTAGCTAGTGAATTCCAATTGCTGACCATACAGCCAGCAGGCCAACATGTCACCCACTACCCCACCAGGGCTCCTTCGAGCAACTATACACACGTGAAAACGTAGGGAGCATTTTTAAGAAGCCATCGTCATGCTCAGCTCTGCCTATCATTTTACCCACCGTTCGAAAGCTAATACTTAGACTATTAGCTATAAAACCCCAGGCATCTTTCTCAGTGCCAGAAACAGAATATAAAGCTGTAGAGATGCTGACACACGGAGCCCTGCATGGAAATCACAACAAAAGCCAGCTAAGGTATTATCCAGACACTCACCTGGCCAAAGAGATTCGGGCACGCTGACCTCCGCTCAGGGTGACTCCACCCTCTCCAAGAACAATATTGTCTTTCTCAGCAAACTTGGAAATGTCCTGTCACCAAAAATAGAAAATTGGCAAGGTCTTGTTAGTGCACTGGATCAGAATTTGAAGAGGCCACCTCCCTTCAAATGTAGGCATGTATCAGATTCTTACTTTAACTACATCTGGAAGCTCCGAACACGTTAACTCGATGATTTCAAATGTGAGTCATTTTGTTGGCTAAAGTAAGACTGCTAAAATTTTGCTAGTAAGCTTTAATGTTATTTTGAGGATGTCACTCATGATCATTAAGTGAAAATTGGAAAAATTTTTAAAGTAAACAATGTGTCTATGTATGTGTACGCAAATTATTGTGTAGATTATCCATCAGCCCAAGACACACACCACAAATGCTATTAACATACGAAAGGGCAGTTCGCCATCTCAATGCACGTTCACAAGGAGCTCTGGAGGGAGAGTGGGTTTGGGTGAGGCTGTTAACCCCAAGGTCAGGGTTGCGAACACACCGGCTGCTCCCAGGGAGCAAGATGAGGGGGTCTGCTCCTGTAATGATGTAGAGTTGGGGGAATCCAACGGGGGCCGTTCTACTCTTGTCTGTGGGGTAACTCTGAGTCAAAAGTCATTCATGGGAAATGGATTTGGTTTGCGGATCCAAAACACTGGCACGGTGGAGGAAATGCTGCAAAATTCAGTAATGACGCTCACTCAGGCATGGGAGCAGCATACCAGGGAGGTCTTGCGGAGCCATGTTGGTCCTCCATAGGAGACGCACAGCCCCGAACGCGTCATCTCTTTCCACTAGGACCAAGTTTCCACACTCTGTTCAACCCTGGCCTGGGGCCATTCAAATGCATCTAAATCTGTGAGAGCAAGAACTCAACAAGGCGACCTTAATCTCTGGGGGTTGCCGGTGCTCCAGCCTTAACCGGAGGCAGTTGTGCCACTTTCCCAACTTTCCTTGTTAAGGAAATTATCTGCCTTTTCCAAACAGTGACTCTCCATGTACCCCTCATTTTCTCCCCTGGCAGCCACCAATAGATGTTGACTTCTGTACATCCATGTTGGTTTCTGTAATAGTCGGTACTTGAGAGAACCAAATCCACAGAAACTCATAAGAGAGAGCTTTATATAAAAGGGCAGTGCACATCAAGAAAACATCCCAACCAGTGCTGCCCAAGCCCACAAGTCCAACATTAACCCATTAACCCATTAACCCATATGTCCAACACCAATCCACAAAGTCCTCCTCCATCTCACAAAACAGACGCAATGATGCCAACTGCAGGAGGAAAGCCGAGTCCGAGTCAGTGAATGTGTAAACATCTCAGCGCTGGCAGGGGTCTCCACACGGCTGCTCCAGCACCCAGGGCTGCATCGGGGTAGGTCCATGTGGCTCCTCTTCAGGGATGTCTTTCAGGAAGTCAGCCTTGCCAGGTGAAGCAGGGAACTGGCTAAGGGAGCTGCACCCTAGTCCGACCATCAGAAAGCAATAGACCTGAGAACTAGAAAGGGGAGGCTCACCAAGCCACTTATCGCTCCACCCTTCAATTAACCCCACATGTGTTTATCAGCCAGGTTGGCACAATAAACTAACTCAGTTTCTATAAATATCCTTATGATTTAATTTACATGAGCTATACAGTATTTGTTCCCTGGTGGTTTATTCATCCGTCTGTTGATGGATATTTAGCAGCTATTATGTATGGTGCTGCAGTGCACATTGGTGTACATGCGTCTGTTTGTATCTCTGCTTTCAAGTCTCTTAGGCATATGTCTAAGAGTGGAAATGCTAGGGGAAGTGTTAATTCTATGTCTAACTTTCTGAGGACTTGCTAAACTATTGTCCACAGAGGCTGTGCCATTTTGCATGCCCACCAATAATGAATGGGATTCTAATCTTGCCATATCTTCACCAACGTTTATTGTTTTACTTAATGTTTTCCTGACTGACCTCCCCTCCCTGTTCTTTTACGATGAGACGCCACCAAGAGGAATCTCTTTCCATCCATTATTCAATCGGTAGTGCAAAGAAAGCTAGGAAACAAGGTGCTTTGCTTTCTGACCAGTACTTCCTCTCATGTTTTCTGTTTTGATTAAGCTTTATTCTAGAATAAAAATTCTATTATGTAGTACTCAAGATGCATACAACTTCAAAAAATATAATAAGAGGGTAATTTGGCCATATCTTATAAAACTGAAGATGTGCAAAGGTACCCTGGGATGAGTAAATAAAATGTGATGCATCATAAGGACAACAGGCTCCTGGGTGGTGCAAATGGTTTATGGACTCAGCTGCTAAGGGAAAGGATGGAGGCACCTCAGAAGAAAGGCCTGGAAATCTACTTCCAAACAATCACCAGCCATTGAAACCCTTGGGGAGCAAGTGTGCTTGGATGTCTATGAGGTCACCATGGGTCCGGGTTAAGTAATGGCAACAGGTTATGAAGGAGGGAAATCAACAATTGAAAAGAATGAAATAGATTTCCACACTTTTTTACCAGCAAACGAGCTAGATCTGAACAATGCAACAGAATGCAGAAAGCAAGAGGACCATACCACTTAAATCGATTGTAAAGTCATGCAAATTACCCAATACTATTTAAAGACTGGGTTTGAAAAATATGTATTCATTATTGTGCTAGGCTAGAAAATCCTACCCAAGTCAATGATAATGCTTTTTTGGGGAACCAGGATACTCCTCTTATTAAAAAGTAAAACTCAGAACAAAATGTGTAGAGATTGTTGAATGGGGAACTCATTTTCTCCCAAATCACCATACAATGGTCAACAAAGGAAAAGTCAAAGCTGGGTGTGGCCCTCCAGGCTGAGCCTCTGGTAAAGCAAAGGCTTGAGGGTGAAACTACCCAAGGGAACCCTAGTATTCACGTGGTTTGAAGGCAGGGGTGAAAGAAAACAAGTAGAATGGTAAGAAATAATTAAGAGTATTCACAGTATACTAAACCATGTAACTATCTCTTGTATCGTGTCCTTCCCTGGAGTTGGCAACTCTGGCCAGCACTTGTGTGGCCAAATCCTCTAAGCCCAAAGCCTGTTTCTCAGTGGCCAGGGAGTTAAAGATGGTATTTAAGGAGGAACATTGGCAATCCATTTTGATGATAGGGAAGGGTGGCTTTGAACTCTAATTATGCAGTGCTCTCTTCTCTCCCTGCCCTCCAGGATTCCATTCTTCTTATTTGTTTTTGTTTTTGTTGTTGTTGTTGTTAGTTGCCATTGAGTTGGCTTTGACTCAAAGGACCTTATGTAAAATAGATGGAAACAGTGCCCAGGCCTATGCTATCTTCATGATCATTTGGTAGATATGAGTTCACTCTTACAGTTATTCTGGTGGTGTAGTGGTTATGCTTTGGGCTGTAATCCGAAAGGTCAACAGTTCAGAACCACTAGCCACTCTGGGACTCTCTACTCCCATAAACAGTTACAGTCTTGGAAACTCACAGGAGTAGTTCTATCCTGTCCTATCGAGTTGCCGTGAGTCAGAATCAACTCAGTTTCACAGATCCACTCTACTTTACAAATCCTAGACCCACATCACAAAAAATTACACTCAATTATGATTGAATACTGAATCCCACCAATTACAATGTGTACACATTTGATAAGAAGGTAAAACATATGTGGAAGACAAGAACTTCCTAAGTTGTTCCACTTTACAAATAATTCTACCCTTCAGCCCTATGACATAATAATTGACCCATAAGAATATTTATAATGGGCTTTTACCATAAAATAGAGGAACCCTGGTGGTATTGTGGGTTACAAATGGAGCTATAACCCCAAGGTGAGCAGTTTGAACCCACCAGCCATTCCAATGGAGAAAGATGAGACTCTGATCTGGTAAACCATTATAGCCTCAGACATCCGCAGAAGCAGTTCTACTCAGTCCACAGGGTTGCTATGAGACAAAATTGACTCTATGACAGTGAATTTATGACCACAAAATAAAAGAAAGCCAACAATAGAAGAGCCTGGACAACAACTGGTTTTAAAGTAGTGAATGACTCCATATAAATATTCTCACTTTGGGTCGCTTCTGACTCACAGTGACCCAAAGAGCAGGGCAGAACTTCCCCCTTGTGGGTTCTGAGAGTGTAGCTTTATGGGAATGCAAAGTTTTGCCTTTCTCCTGTAGAGCAGCTCATCAGATTAACAACTGCTGATCTTATGGTTATCAGTCTGATGCTTAGCCACTACACCACCAGGGTTCCATATATAGATATACATACCAGTATATCGATCCATTCATTTACATCATAGCTATAACTATATTGATGTATAGGTATGTATACCTATATACATACCACTATCAATATAGATATGTGATGTAGATGGATGGATAGAGTTATTGTCAATTCAGTACAGATTCATTTAAATGGGCAGAAAATGCACATATCACATTCATGACAGTGATCTCCTGAAATATGAGTCTTGTAGAAGAACGGTGGTAAGATACATATATTGCTGAAATCCTAGATGCCTATATCTGAAGAGGTTTGATGTTTTGTGCCAATGTATTGGGCTTCCTTTGCTGGACTGAAGCCATTTATAAAGAGCAATGAGTACACTTGGATAATTTTAATTTAATAAGTACACTTAGAAATCATAATTAGCATGAAGCTGCCGAGACTGAAATGAAACAAAATACCAGAGGTAGACAGCAGAGAATGTTGAACAAGCCATTATTTTTAAACCAAACACATTAGTAATACTGATATCCTGCTGCTGATGTGAGTGCCTGCTCTGATTTCCCGCTTTATTGCTCATCCGTAAATTTCTTTATTAGTGTTTGACTTTCTCTATTAGGTCTATCATAAAACACTTCATTGTACATGCTCTGTTAATCTTTTATCCTTGCCGATTACTAGAGGCTCTCAAATCTGGAAATATATTTGTTTGAACCATGCTGGCTTTCAGGCTTCACAGCAAATGTCCCCTTCTAGCTAGGCTGTCGTCCCAAACAGCTTCTGACTACTTGGAGCTACGATGAGCAAGTGCTACTGAAGGGACCCGCACACACACTCAGTCCCAATTCC